ACCCTCAGGAGGTCCGCCTGTCTCCCAACTATGCAGTTCTCCCCCTCTTTGAACTTCGTTCTTATCGTGAATTCCTCTTTTCATCGTAGATTTGTGCATGTGTCGCGATGTCAATGTTATTCTAAAGTTCTCGGGCCGAGAACATAACTTATTTGCAGCCCTGCAGGAGCGGGAGGTGTTTGATGCAAAGAGGCGCCACTTGCCACGCGCATTGTCCTGAAAACAAGTACTGGGCTGTACACCGTCCACACCAACTAAGACTTCTATCACCGGTGTGTGTGTGTGTGGGGGGGGGGGGAGCGGGTGGGGATCAGTTCCTGGTACCACTCTTGTCCGGAAGGATGAAACTCATACATCCGCTGGTCGCCACAGGTCATTTAAGGGCGAATCACATTCAAATGCAACCGAGATTCTGAGTGGAAATGGATAGCGTGGCGCATCCCTATGAGGTTTGATGAATGCCGAGTGCTTTGCCCTTGTTAGGTGTTTCACGATCTCCCCACTGAACCAATTCTCTTTGCTTCCGCTACTTCACAGCTGGCTCCCACGGTTCCGCTCCAAATCTCTAGCTCCAAATTCTTACGCTGGAGAGGGGGGTATATAATCGCAAAGACGGTAGATATTGGGAGAATTGTCGAAAGTTCTCCAACTTCCTATTTTTCGTATCTCTTGAAGAAATTCACGAAATTTCCTAATCCCATGTCTTCCAGAAATATGACATATTTTGTCGAATGCGACCCTCTTTCTCCAAATCACAAAGTACGACCACTCGTCCGAATTGGCCTGGCCGAACCGTTGCTGCGGCTTAGGCCACGGTCATAGTTCGCCATCTCGCGATTTTGCGATCCTGCGTGTTGTACATATTCACATTACGTCACTATTTTTGTCATCACATTTTGTAGTGTTTCCTGCGCCTTACCAGAGGGACGCCGTGATCTAGGGTGAAACAAACACACCCGAGCTAGAATAATAAAATGAGATAGTACACTACAGAAATGAATTGATGTATCAAATTAGACAGATGAGCGAACAAGAATGACGACAAAAAGTGACCTAATTACAAGCGTGACGAATACCACAGGCGTTCTGGCATGCGACAGTAGGGTTTTGCGATTTTGCGACCACATGATCGCAATATTGCTGGGTCCATATCAACTACCACTCGAAGGGCAAGAGAACTGCAAGGCGGTCGCGAGAAATGACTGGTCTATGCAGACAACCGACTTACAATTATCGGCTGGGAAAATGGTTCAGTCGGAGAATAGAAAAATAGCGGAAGCGGTCCGCTCTTCCCCTTCTCTCCAATTCTCTTGCCCGATCTGCGTCTGGATTGTTTTCGCGCATTTGAGCTTCTCCAATGAATTGCTTGCACGACTTTCCTAATCTCTACCTCATCCTGTGAATACCGATGAAACTTTTTTTCGAAATCACCAATCCTCTCGCTCTCTCGTAGGGCGACAGCTATGTAGGATGCCTAATTAATAAACACATTACAGGTTACGAGTCTGGGAGAACGAAATAGAAATATCAAAATAGAATAGAGCTTCATTGAAGCCTCAGCAAAACCTTAACACGTATTGAAAAAGTTCTGTGAGATAGTATTGCGCGTCGAATACACCTGCTAACCATGGGTGCATTGCTATTCTCCTCCTCAGGTCAGGTCATCAAAATTAAGACAGCACCCATTTGCACGAAGCAGGCTTAGGACTAAGCCTAGGCCCAGTCATAGGTTTAATAAGCCTAAGCCTGGGCCTGAACCCAAGCCTAACCTTGGGTTTCAATGATCGCGCAGCGCTGACGGACCCTCAGGAAGAGAGTTGAACGTCTCCCTTAACCACGCACCTCCTTCTCTGCGCCATTCTCAGCCCTACTGACGTGAATAACCATTTTTACGGACACCTAACAATGGAACAGATTAAAATTCTGAACAGAAAACGCAAACTAGAGTCAGAAAAAGCTAGAACTCATGCGATTTATTAATTCCGTAGATAACTTCGTAATGTTTTCACACAGTTTGTCTGTTTTAACTTTCTATGGAATCTCCATTCATAAGTCAGACATACCGGAAACTTGGCGATAATTACGTTAAAATTATGAATATTCATTATTACAAATAAATATTAGCAACTGTAGTTAAATAGAACATAAAAACATAATTAATATTATTAATAGAAAAATTACATATTACTGAATCTAATATATAAATAGTATAAATCAAATAATGCACTAGTACAATGAATAATTGCAAACAATTTCAATCATGAATATAAATCATGTTTTCAACATAGGGAGTTCAAACTCTGTTTCATTGTCACAGAAAACATAAATCCCATATATTAAATATTTTTTTTCCAGTCTGCACTTGTTGTTCTAAAATTTACCTTACGAATAAAAGCAGATGGCGGCATGAAACACACCTTTACAACTTATTTGAAGTATACAAGATTAAAGCATTGTGCTGTTATTTACGTTAGCCTTAATCTAATTTTCATATAATGTACGTTAGAATAATTTGAGGTGCAAATAAAAGAAAAGCACAGTGTTTTCGATGGTTGATGTGGTATTCGTTAGGGATTCACACATATAACATCGAATGATTATGTTTCGCAATCGCGTTATGTAAAGTGTCAGCCGTGTTTCCGATAGTCACGCCCGGGATTGACACCCTCAAATAAGATAAGGAGGAGGATTGACAAAGACGACTTGTTTCACGGCAAATCATGCCTCCGCTAGACTTACATAAGCCTAATAATGATGACATCGGACAACAGTATGTTGAATTCCCCACCGAGGGAGGACCGCTTCGTTATTTCTGAATGGGGAGGGGTCAGAATTAGGGTTTATATTGCACACGGGCATGCCCTCATATGGTTTGATCGGTTTCAGTGGATTGGGTAAACTTGCAAGCGATCTACTCTTTTTACAACGAAAAACTATATTAAAACTGATTGTACTTGTGCTTTTAGCGAAACTGAGAGCGCAGGAGCACGGAGTTGTTTCAAGTGCGTGCACGCTTCAAACGCCACCCTACCGACCGTTGGACCAGAAGAGGTGTCATCAAAAGCCGTCTTAAATTTTCCCAACGTGGCGGTTTACCATGGCAGTACTCCAAATGTAGATTAAGTATTACTCTGACCGTGAAGTCTACATATTTCAAAATCGGATTTTAGAACATGGATGGGATACCAAAAAACGCTGACTTTACCTAGCCTTGGGTAAGATTAGACAACACAAAGCTCTAGCTCACTTTGGGGAAGAGGGAAAGTCGCAAATGCTCTGAACATATACGGACTCTTGATAAGACGTCAGTACACTCATTTGTTTTTATCGTACGTGCTCATGCGTCGACTCGCGATTACGTTACTTTACAGCTTTGCTTCCAATACAAAGACCAATGAGTAAAGGATAAAGTCTATGATGACAAATAAATCAATTGGTCGTCGATTTACCTCTTTAGAGAATTTGAATCCTTTGAAGTAGTATAGTTTTGCCTACAACTAACCAGATTCGACAATCTCATTGCCTCTACAGATCTACCCACAAGTCTTGGACAAGCTACCATTAGAGTTCTTAATAAGGAACTGAAATTCAAGTCAAGCTGCAAGTGATGCACAGGGTACCTAATGAGTTGTTTTTACCTGAAGACCTATACAGACCATTTCATGACATGCTACAAGACAATCATTCAATAGATGCGGCGTTTCCAAACCGTTGATTCAGGACAGGTTATTTTACTCATTTTTCATTAAGGTCATCCATTGGTAATTACAAACATGTACACATTTAGCATTACTGAGACATTACTCTCCCGTTTCGACAGTATCGCTGGACTTTTCTCTTTGAGATCTTGGTTCGTCCTTTTCGTCGTCTTTCCTTTCTCCAGGTTCACCAGCTGCATCATTGGACAGCTCGTTATCTTCATCTAAAAATGCTATTTGAATCAAGGAAGCAACATGCGAAGGGCGGTTTTTGCAATCTTAATCAGTGTAATTATTCCTATTAGGTACCGGTTCGGATAGAATTAAGGGAGTTAAAAAAAGCAGGTTGGTATTGACATCATTTAAAAACGAAAACGTCTCAAAATTTAGAAGTTTAGCATGGACAAAAAAGATGATTGCCGGCTGGAATGTGGTCCGTACCATTACTACTGGACAAGTTACCTATGGGCTTGGCCTATTTTCGCAAAAACGTACCAAAAAAATCTGTTTAATACATTCTATCATTCCTCATGATTGCCCAATGAATCGGCTATTTGTTAGAGCTCCATGAAAGTAATTCAAATATTAAAAGATGAACCACAAAATAAGCCACAGCGCAGCCAATCATCGCTCTCAAAGCAAACACCGCGAAACAAATTGGACAGTGAAAGAAAAATAAAGCAGTCATGAGTGCTAAGTAGTAGGAATAAGTTGGATAGGAAAAACCTCCCAAACAAGCCTCTGCGTAGCATTTTGGTAAGTTTTGCGGTACGCGATTGGGCGTTACAGTGCTGAAGCGCATCACGCGCACACTTGTCGACTTGTGTCCAGCAATTGTTTTGCGGCTGCAGCCAATCTTTCGGTCGGTACCATAGCGTTAGAGCAATCACCCAGAGGCGAAAAAGTAGTCGAGTTCTCTTCATCAGACTCACTCGATCCACTTATGTGCGGTCCTTCGAGCAATGAGGCCTTTTTATACACGGCTAATATTTCTGGACATTTCTACTGATTTGCGTTTCGGTGATAAGAAAAGAATACATGTCAGGTGTTTGTCTTTGCAATTCTGAGGCGCCGCTTTTAGCCCGGGAAAATGACAATGGTTGGCGAAGGAGGAAAGGAGGAGCGCTAGTGAAGGGCGGGACGTGCACTGATGGGTGAAGAACGGTGCACTGAGGTGGGTTACCTCAACTTACAACTTTATAAAATGATTGAAATGCTGTATGACAGGAGAAAAGCGAGTACCGCGATGAGGAGGGTTAAAACCTCCAGGTGGGTGTAGTATGCACAGAGTGGACAGGGCCAGAGCCAAAAACTTAAGCTGCCTTTTTCTACAGCTGGAGCGCAGTGGTGCGCATCAATGTGCGGAGCCAAACTGATAGAAAAAAATGGGCAACATAACTGATGATCATCAAAAAAACTCTCCGTGATACTGATTTCCGATAGGCGAGTCTAATCCGAAATCCAAAAAACGATATTAATTGCTCCGGTAACTAACATGATTACTACACAACCCCAGAGGCATTCATACCTGCAAGCAACTTCTGGAAATTGGCGAGGATTATGTTGAGTGCATGAAGATGATTCCTGCGTTCCGATAACTGTAACAAATTGTGCGAATACAGCGAATAAGTAATGAAGAAATAGGCAGTAATGGTAGGGAGAGAAACTGCACGGATCTTTAAAGGGCTATATCACCATGCACCATGCAATCCTAAACCAACTATGAGCTGCCTTCGCAATTGGCAGCACAACAGTAAAACACATCAATGAGGGAAAATAGATGCAAGCACGTCAAAGAGTGGTTAGTCTGGGAATGGTGCCTACTCAAGCAAGTTCAATTGTATCCAGCACTTACTCTGGCTTCAAGTTGTTGCTGACGCTCTTGTTGCTGGCTAAGCTCCTCCTGCATATCTTCCAACTTTCTGAATTCAGAAGAGACTTAGAAAAATAGCGAAAGGTACTGAAAGGATCTCATACTTCTTTCCAGAAGCACTGCCTTAAAACAAAAGCAACAAGGCCCAGCATCGAACTAACTTTGTCGTTTCTGCTCGTGACGGCAAATCATCTATCATTCCAACTAACAGAGCATATTCTTTGCGGTTTTTACGCACAAGTCGTGCTGCCGTAAGCTCTTTTTTAGCTTGTGCCATTTTTTCACGACTTATTGCTATCTGAAACAGAAGGAATTCCATGAAGGCAAATATAAGTCGGAAGGACTCTATAAAAATTTTGCATTCGAATTTCTGAATGATCGCGGTGAAGAAACATTCCAGTAGTTACCTCTCTATCCACTCTTTCTGCCATCTCCTCGTATTCTTTCGTATGCCGTTCACTCATTTCAGCAATTTCGCGTTGCTTTCGCATTGACAGTTCCAGAGAATCAATCTAAACCAGATAACATGAAGAATCTTACGGATTAATTCCAGGAATATTACGACAGGTATTCAACTGAAGATTCCAGACTCGTCGAAAATTTTCTCCATGCTTGGCTATTGGCGCTCTGGGCTGAATGTCGACAATGAAAATGACTACCTTCTAAAATCGCTTCAAACTCACTAAACGTAGCGCCTTAACAGCCTCTGCCTTGCTCACGGTGCTAGGATTTCGTAGTAATCGAAGACATCCGTTCAGCAGTTGGAACCGCCTTTCTTCACCCGTTCCTTCGCCATCGGCAAGTAGTTTGCGAAGTAATACTTCTTCCCGCATTCACTTAAATAATCAGCTGTTTTGTACAGGTAGACTACCAAATGATTCTCTAAAAGCTGTCCAAGATCGAAAATCTTGAGGCGAGCCCTGAGTAGCAACCATCCCCGACAACAAGCGATATAACCTACACTACAACAGATACTGTATTTGCAAGTTGTGCAAGTTTTTGCACGCTCATTTTCCCATTATATTCACTGTTCAGTTGAGTACCAGCGATACTGGTCGGCATTAATTCACGAGTTCAGGCATGCTGACTTCTACTCCACCAAATCAGACAAAATGAGGCAAACACCTAGTGGCAACTACTGTACTTAGTATCTCACAGGAGGCGGCTGTTCTGCCGACTTATAATTTGCCTTCATGGAATTCCCTTTTTGTTTTCAGATAGCAATAAGCCCTCTCGAAAAAATGGCAGCTGCCCACTCACGCATCATGATAAAGCCTAAAAAAGAGCTTTACGGCAGGCACGCCTGTGTGTAAAAACCGCAAAATGAAATTGTAGGGGGGGGGGGGGGGGGGGGGGGGGGGGGGGGGGGGGGGGGGGGGGGGGGGGGGGGGGGGGGGGGGGGGGGGGGGGGGGGGGGGGGGGGGGGGGGGGGGGGGGGGGGGGGGGGGGGGGGGGGGGGGGGGGGTAGGGGTTTAGCGCGTCACTTGCTGAAACGACAAACGTTGTTTCCAATGT